CCCCCGCCCTTTTGCACTACTAGTGTTGATAGAGACGGTAAATCTGTACCATTTCACCCTTTCATCTTGCATTAAGTGAACGTGTACTAACATCTTGAGCAAACCGGTGACATAAAAAGTTTTTGAAAAAGTAAGACGACGTAGTTTAAAAAATAAAAAATGTTAGACCATAATGAGTAACGAGCCGTGACCGTGAAGAAGCGAATGTTCTTGTGTCGGACTGCTCCTTTTCACCTAGAACTATTATGTTTGATTTGTCGGAACGCGGGATTTTATTCACTGGTTGACTGGTTTCTCCCAGAAGCGGGTCTGGTCTGTGTCCTGTGTAATGTTGGCAGTGTTGTGCTGCTGCAGTTTATCCGTTCTGTGGAGTTTCATTTTGCCACAGCTGCGTGTTCATATTTTTATTTATTCGTCTATGTTAGTCTCATGAGTTCTAGTGACAATAGCATTGACTGTGTTCTTTTTCTCCGCTCGAAAGAGAGAAGTGGGAGGTTTTGCTTTGTGCTTTGCATACACCTGATGTGTGAACGCTGTGCAGGGAGACAGGGTAGATCACTGACCTAAAAAGATGTAGTTTTAGGTCAGTGGGTCGATCACGTGTGATAGTTGTTGCTGAATTGTACAGCAGTTGGTTGCTGTTATCTGTTTGTTCTTAGTGTTGCTTCACTGAAGTGGTGGCATAGAGCAGCTCAAGGTTCTGCAGCGTGGAATGACGACATTTCCCAACAGTGTTGCACTGTCCACTCGCTTTGCTCACTTCACCGCCGTTTTGTGTTCTTATTCTCTCTCTGTGAACAAGTGTGATGATAATGTGGTCTTTTGTGACGAATTAGACTTTTCAATTTACGTTACTGCTGATTTTTGTCTCTAGCCCTCTCCTTGTCCTCAACATCGACAATGGCATCACGTCAAGTGGACTTGGAAGCGCTCAAGTCGCGTCTGTACCGCGTGGCGTGTGAGAAAATTGCGTCGGAAAGCGTGGCGCTGACGCGCGTGTCTCGCGCCTTGTGGGAAAACCCAGAGCTGGGCCTTCAGGAGAAGCAGGCTGAGCAACTCCTGTCTTCTTTTCTCCTGTCACGTGACTTTCCCGTCATACGTCACCATGTACTGCCCACTGCCTTCTTAGTCACACACCCTGACGACGCACAGGTGGTCAGCCGTGACGTCACAGATGGGGACAATGACGTTAGCAACGGTAGCGTTAGTGTTGGTTCATGTGTTGGCAATCTGGAGTCTTCTGGTATAACTGATGACGTCAGAGAGTCGGCTACACCAGCAAGCGATGACGTTAAGCACCAGGCAGTGGAAACCAGGAGCGAGTCACGCGACGTCTCTCACGTGGCGGTCTTCTGCGAATACGACGCCCTTCCGGACATTGGTCACGCGTGTGGACATAATCTGATCGCTGTCGTGGGACTGGCCACTGGTTTGGGCATCGCGGCGGCCATCGATGCGGCGTGGTGCGAAAATGTCACGCTCGGGAAGCTGAGTATTATTGGAAGCCCGGATGAAGAGAATACTTGCGGGAAAGTGAACTTGCTGAAGGCCGGCGTGTTGGAGGGCGTCGACTTTTCTCTGATGGCTCACCCTGCCATGTCGGATGACGCCACGCCCAACTTCAGCGGCTGTTATTCTTGCTTTGCCATCTTCAAGGGTACTGGTGGCTCGTCGATGAACGCGTGGTATGGCGGCGGCGGCGGGAACGCGCTTGACGCTGCGTGTCTAGCCTATCAAAGCGTGGCGTGTCTGAGACAACAGTTCCGCCCTGACTGGCGTTTTCACGCCACTTTCAAGAGCGGCGGAGTCCATCTGGAGCTGGTGCCTGAGCGTGTGGTTATAGAGATCTACTACCGAGCCAACCGGTTGGAGGAGTTGAGAGAGTTGGAGAGCAAAATCTTTGACGCGTTCCGTGGCGCCGCTACGGCCTGTGGGTGCTCTGTGGAGTATGAGATGCCATATCCCAAAATTGACCCCCTAATCAGCAATGATAGCCTCGTAGCGGTGTACACGAAACACGCGGCTGCGCTTGGCGTGAATCTGCCGCAGGCGTGGGGCGAACGTGACCCTGTGGGTTGTACGGATATGGGCAACGTGAGTCAGGTAGTCCCTAGCATCCATCCGGTCTTCGACATCGGCACAGACAGTGTGCTCCACACGCGGGATTTCGCCGCCGCCGCGGGCACCGCGACTGCTCTCGAGCGGAGTCTCCAGCAGGCAAAAGTGTTGGCCATGACGGCCATTGACGTGATGTTGACGCCGAGCGTAGTGCGCGCGTTGAGGGAGGACGCCAAACGGCTCCGGGAGAAAAATGTACAGTCCTGAATCAAGTTTTTAGTAAACATTTGTCACCTTTGGGCGCGCACACACTCACACACACACACACACACACACACACACACACACATACACACTCATCAACCGGTGTGTCTGAGCTTAGATGTTTATGTGTGCTGTTCCAACATTATCTATGCTATTCCACCATTACTGTCCTATTTCGCCACCATGTGTGTGCCATTCCGCCTCTTTATGTGTCCCTTTACCCCACTCTGTGTGTATTCTACCTTTACGTGTCCTATTCAACCACTATGTGTGTTATTCCATTTTATGTGTGCAATCCCACCATTATGTATGTTATTCCGCCTTGTGTGTTTTATTCCATCATTATGTGTGTTTGTGTTGTTCCTCCTTTATATGTCACATTCCACCTCTATGTGTACTTTCCCACCATGATGTGCACCAGCTACGTGTTTTCTGTGTGTCTCGGGGTGATGGCGACAGACCCATAATCGTGAGATTGCGGGTTCGGGGGTTGGAGCCTCAGCTTGGCCCGACGTTGTATCCTTCCTTGTGGATCGGTCCTTTCGAAGGTTGACGTTGAGCTCGGAGGTTCCTCCCCGTAAATAACCTAATGCGTGTTGACAGGGGCATTTAACGTATATAAGTCCACCATTTCATGTTTGTGTCCTGGTTGTCTCTTAGAATAAAATAAAGGCCAGTATGCCCTTAAAATTTTGTTCAAATTATCTTATGAAAGTTATCTTTCTGTGTGTGTAGTATGGAATTCTTTTGTTTCTTGCTTGGTGTCTGTCATTCGCACGATCAGTCATTCTTTCAGTTATTCGATTTCTTCCTTCCATCCTTTTCATTTTCCACTCACTCTGTAAGAGCCATTCTTTTCTTTTTGAGAATAATTATTTTCTTTCCGAAACGAATTCTTTCTTTCGTATTGTCTTCACTACTTTAACTCTTTCTGTTTCTTTGTCTCTTTCTCTCTTTGCCTCTCTCACCCCTGTCTGTCTGTCTGTCTGTCTGTCTGTCTGTCTGTCTGTCTGTCTGTCTGTCTGTCTCTTTTATCAGTGGGCTAGGAGTGTTTGGCTGGGGGTCTCTTGTGTTGTTTGCTACTTCTTTCCCACACTTTGCGAGCGCCGTAAAACCTTTACTAAAACTAACTAACTTTCCCACAATCACTCATCGTCCTTTCTTAAAATTATATTATGTCCTTCTTTTGTTTGTATGTTATACTTTTGTAACATCTCTAATCTTTGTCCCTTATGTGATTGGATTGTGTTTATGAGTGCCACAAACCCTTCCTAAAACTAAATCTAAAACGTAGTGGGGCAGTAAGCAGTTGGTCACTAAATCTTCTTCCTTCTTCTTCTCGATCGCATCACACTTGAAGTCCGGTATCTGTCATATATTGGGCCATCCTGCTCAGTTCATCTGTCGGTCTGTAAAGCTTCTACTGTAGTGTCAGTGGGTTTGGCCACGTTTCCTGTCTCAGGGCCCTGTGTGTCTTGCAGTTCTGAAGGATGTGCTCCACAGTTTGGTCCGCCTCTGCACTTTGGCATTTTGATGATTGTACTAGTTTAAACATAACAAATAAAGTTTTGGATTGGAACCCACAGGGTAAGAGATCAAGGGGAAGACCGCGTGGAACCTGGAGAAGAATCACAGAAATCGATGTACAGAAAAGTGGGAAGACATGGAATAATATGTAGAGGCTAGCCCAGGATAGAGAAAGGTGGAAGGTGTTTGTCCGTGGCCTATACCCTGGTGCAGGGTGAGAAAGGCAATGATGATGATGCTAGTTTAAAACATCTAAATGATGTGTACATGTTTGATGCTCCGTGAACTCGGTGCTGTTGGGAGGAAAGTGGCCTATGATCTCCGACAGTGTGCCACGGTGACGAAGTCTTTGCTGTGTGGAGATTGTATGAAGGTCGGACATAGGCGCTGCTCTCGAGACAGCTAGTGTTTTTGGGTGGGTTGTTGGCAGGTGCTCAGATATACCAAAAAAAAAAAAAAAAAAAAAAAAAAAAGGTGCTCAGATATGGTTGTGCTCTTTCTTTCCTATCAAACATCTATTGTCCTTATCTTCCCTTGTTCTTTCCTTTCTATGTTACTCTCTTGTAACACCTCTAGTCTTCGACACCTTATTGTGTTGCAATTGCCGTGAAGCTCTTACAAAAAAAGTCTCTCTCTCTCTCTCTCTCTCTCTCTCTCTCTCTCTCTCTCTCTCTCTATCTATCTATCTATCTATCTATCTATCTATCTATCTATCTATCTA